AAAAATATATATGCTTAATAAGATACTATTGTGATTAAAAGTATCAAGCATAATTCTTTAAGAAGCTTTAAGAAAAAGAAAATTCACAAATGATTTATTGGAAAGAAGTGTGATGAGTATGAAAGTGCATGTCTAGGATTGGTTCTGTGAAGACTTGGTACTTAACTGTGCCTAGTGCACCACCTCTCTTTCATAGAAACCTACCTGGTGCATTGTTCATTACTATGCTTACTATTCCAATACTATGACAAGATAAAAACTCTTAAAACTTAGTGCAGAAGTTAAAAGAGTATAGATTAATTTGGTTGAGTGGAATACCAAATTTAGTCATAGTAAATAAAATATGTGATAATCTCTTTAAGGCTAATATGTTAATTATCATGAATGAAAATATGATAAACACTATTGCTACTAAGAGTGTGTTATAGCAATTAAATCTCTTTAAGTGATTTTCCTAAGTAGAGGAAAGAAAAGAGATTATATATTTCAGAATTTGTGCTAAAATCTCTTGTTTTTAAACTTGAGATCATTTTTCCTGATGTTAGGAAAATCGAAATTCATTTTGAATGAGGAAAAGTCATAAATAATTTTATATTGGTTTATGCATTTTAATCTTAATGATTTGGAAATTCTCAATTCTTTGAGAATATAATTATGTGTAAACAAAACTTGAGTTTGTTAAAATATAGTTTTATGGCTAAAACTCATAACAAACTTTACTCTAGTATGATTGAGTATTTGTTTACACGTTTTACACGACACTTATGGATATCCTAAAATGTTAGAAATGTGGGGGTATCTTAAAATGTAGATTAAATACATAAACTCAAATAGAAAATATTTTATCCACTTCTTCTCTAGTATTCCTACTAGGTCTTCTCAAGAAATTGATATCGAGCCTAGAAGAAGTAAAAGACTATTTGGACCAAAATTTATCACTTCCTTTATTTATGAGATAAATGATTAAGACTCTCTTTCTGATCATATAGCTTAAATATTATATGAGGATCCTAAAAAGGCTATAAGATCTATCGATACTAGTTTTAGAAAAGCGCTATTAATGATGAACTAGAATCGGTAATGTCTAATCATACTTGGGAATTAGTTGACTTGCCTAGAGGATTTAAACCAATCTGTAGCAAATGAATCTTTCGGAAGAAAATAAGACCAGATGGTTTGATCCAGTGGTACAAGGCAAGGCTAGTCGTCAAAGGGTTCACTCACAAGTTTGTTTTAGACTACTTTGATTCTTACTTCCCCGTTATGAACATCTCAACGATCCGTGCATTATTTTCAGTAGTCTCCATTCATAAGTTACAAGTACATCAAATGGATGTTGAGACTGCATTTTTGAATGGAGATCTAGATGAGGAGATCTATATGAGAACAATGGTACAAGAAATTTTATAAAACTATACTTAGTTTTGGTTTTGTTGTGAATGGTTCGGATGCTTGTATGTATTCGAGGACGTTTGGTACTGATTACATCATCATAAGTTTGTATGTTGATGACATTTGATTTTTCAGTTCTAACATTGAGTCCATTAACAAAACAAACAATTTCTTGTCCACTAAATTTGAGATGATAGATCTGGGAGAAGTCAATGTAATCTTAGGAGTCAAAATTACCAAAACTAAAAAGGGATTTTCTTTAAGTTAAGCACACTATCTTGAGAAAGTGTTAAAGCAATTTGACAGTTTTGATGTCGTCCCTGTTCGAACCCTTGTGACCCTAGCATATATCTCTTTAAGAGTAAATGAAGGAGCGTTTCCCAAACAGAATATGCTAAATTAATCGGAAGCTTAATAATGAACTATACTAGGCCCGATATTGCTTATGCTATGAGTAGACTAAGTAGATATACTCATAATCCAAGTGGTGAACACTGGATTACTCTTAAACGTTTACTGAAGTATCTTAAGGGTACTTTGGATTCGAAACTTGAGTTTGTTGGCTTTCTTGCGGTACTGGAAGGATATTGTGATGCCAACTGGGTTTCTAATAGTGATGAGGTAAGCTTTACAAGTGGGTATATTTTACTTTAGGTGGAGCAGCAATCTCGTGGAAATCATCAAAGCATACTTGTATTGCTCGTTCTATCATGAAGTCAGAGTTTATAGCTCTTGACCTAGCTGGGCAAGAAGCCGAGTGACTCAGAAGCTTGTTAGCAGATATTCCGTATTGGGGAAGACCGACTACTCATATTTTTTTATTGTGTGATTCACAAGCTGCGATATGTGTGGCTAAAAACCAAGCTTGCAATGGTAAGAAAATACACATTCGTATGAATCAGTTAGACACTTAATAAAGAACAGAATGCTCTCTTTAGAGTATGTGAAGTCGAAAAGGAGCCTAACAAATCCTTGGTCCTATATTCGTCGAGGGGGATGGGTCTAAAGCCCATTGGTTGAGGAATTCATGGTGGATACCCAACTTAGTTATCTAAGTTCCATGTGGTCAAACGAAACCATGGAAAGACTCATAGTGCACATTCCTACTGCCTATCCCTATGATTAATAATGTGCATGTCCGGGATGAGCTTAATTGCTCTTAATAAATTCATAGCCCATGATTTGGGTGGTCTTAGTGAGAAAGACTTGATGAATTTACCGATTTTGGCTGAATATCTATTCTTAATAAGTTCATAACCCATAGTTGAATGGGTAGTTCTAATCGCGAAGGACTAGATGAACTTACCGTTTGAGAGGATGAGTTTTATTAAACTCTTAATGAATTCAAACCCAAGAGGTTCCTAATGAGAAGGACATATTGAATGGGGGTTCCTAGTGAGAAGGACATATTGAATTCACCGAATTATGAGGTTGAATATTTATTCTTGATGACTTCTAATCCCAGAGTTTGGGTGGTTTATTTTTAATGAACTTGAAGAAAGTCACCATACCCTTTATGAGGTTGAGCTATTATAAAAGCTCTTAATTATTTCATAGCTCAGTTTGAGTTGTTTATGTTGAGATAAACTTGATGAAATAACCTATGTAAGTGAGAAGAATTAACCACCTTGTATGAAAAACGTTGGGCCATTTTTCTAGTACATTTATTAGAATCCTGAGGAAAGAGGGCTAAACATATATACACTTTTGTATATACTCTTTGTAGACACATTGAGGACTTTGGTGGATGAAGGGGTTAGTTATGTGTTATGAGTTTACCCATATCTTAGAAAATTCCAGACTAGTTTCACTTATCTAAGAGAAGGATTGCTCATCATCACTATGTACTAGTTCCAGATACGTTCACTAGTGCTTAAGCAACTAATCTCACTATTGCTCTTCTCATGTTTTAACTTCATTGATCTCATCTTTACGAAAGAATTCTTTCGCATTAGTGGGGGAATGTTGATAATGCTCAAAGTATTGGTAATACTAAAAATTCCACTAGCATAAGAAAATGCTCAAATTAGGTTATAACATTATCATGGAAAATGCTAATTAAATATTGGAAATATAGTGTTAGAAATGACCATTTTACCCTCACTATTTATCCTATAAATAGAGAGCAAATTCATTCATTTTAATCATCCCAAGCAAAACATTTGCTTTGAAACACTCCTCTATAGTGAGTGTTGTTTGAGTTGAGAGAATATCAATACCACCAAAGTTCACTCCAGTTTTCGGGTGTACGAATTCTTGGAGAGCCGTGTTAACCTCGGGGGAACGGTCCGCCTACTGTAGCGTTTACGCACATCGGGGCGAATTCGTTTCTAAGGCAGTGGATTACCACGACACGGTTATCATTCTGATTGATTATTTTATTTAATATTTTCCATTCAGTGCTAATGCCTCATTTTGCAACAGTCTATTTTACCAACAGTCCATCCCTCAGGGCCTTTCGTTCCGAATTTAGAGGTAAATGGCCTAGTCAAATAACATTTATTGTATTTACAGCTGGATTGCTCCCATTCAAATAACATTTAGAGGTAAATAACTTTTTATTAAAAACATATTTTATATTTATTATATTTTCAAAACGTTTTTAGTTGTAAAATAACCTACGACACAACTGAATGGACCACGTCCATCCCTCAGGACCAGTCAAATAACATTTTCAAAACATTTACAGATTTATGCAAAATATGTTTTTAATAAAAGTCTGAATATATATATACTATATAATTCAATAACTTTGTTTGGAGTAGGATAACTTTAATTTATCGATCTTGTTAGATTAGCAGAATTCAAAATATTATTAAAAAGATGTTGAATTCAAGTTCATAAGGCTAAAACAGTCGATAATGGCAGTGACCGATCACGATTAACAGTAATTGAAATCTTTGCATATGAAGAGGAATTGAGTGGATGAAAAAAGAGAGAAGAAAAGAGGTAAAATGGAAAAAAAATGAAGAGAGAAAAATAGAAGAAGAGGAAGTTGAGGTTTTTATAGATCTAAAAGTATTTTTTTAAACGTTATTTTAGCTTCATTTGTCGTATCACAATATTATCAACTTTTTGACGATTGAGTGACCAAAACAATATCAATTTAAAGTTAATAATTAAATTGAAAAATCTAAAATAAAAATAGAAAAATCAGTGAACTAAAAGAAACAAGATTCAAAATATACTCTAATTCCATCTACTTTTCTTATATTTGAAACTTAATCTTTCTACTTTTAAATTTACAAAATTAAAATTGATTTTTAATTAAAATTTATACATTTTAAATTTACAAAATTAAAATTGATTTTTAATTAAAATTGATTTTTAATTAAAATTTGGTTTATTACAATGCCATTCTTTTAGTTACATGATTGTTAATTTAATATATATGTTTAAAATCTCAAAATATCATACGAATAAATTCAATAAAAGAAATTTCACAATATTAACAGCTAGATTGAATTTTTAAATCTAAAAATTAAGGATTAAAATATAAAAAATACAAAATGACAGGATTTAAAGCACATTTTAACCCATATAAAATAAAATAGAATTAGCTCAATGGTGAAAATTAAAATTCAACCCTTCATATTAGAGGGAGAGAAACGAGGGGGAGAGGGGTAAATCACAAGGGAAGAACGCCTGCTTCCACCGTTACATCCTCTCTTATATTTTCTTTAGGTTTCTCCTCTTCTGCTCTCTTTCTCTCTCTTTCTTTATTTGCATCTTAGTTACCTTTTCAATGCTCTAGAAACGAAAATTTTGAAGGTGCGTTGTTTTATAATGGTTTTCGGCTCTCGGTTTTGAATTTTGCGATCTGGGTTTTCGTGGGAATTTTGTGTTTGTCGTTGTGAGAGAGGAAGCGGGAGGGGGTAGAAATGGAGGACGGGAGGCTTTGTCAGTGGAGTGTTTTCAGATCTCTTCTCGCAATTGTCCAGTGGTGGAGTTTTAATGTCACCGTCATTATCATTAACAAATGGATCTTTCAGGTTTGTTTCTAATTTCGTTCATTGATCTATGCACTTCCAGTTTAACTTAATTTTCTAATATTCGATCTAATTATTTGATGTTTACGTAATTCTCATTTGCTGTGTTATATAAGCTTTTATTCTTGATGCCTTCTGTTTTCTGCTATGATTCACTTGCAGTGGAAATTTTGCTGATGTTTCTTGATTGATTCTTTTAATCCTTTTTGAAAATTATAAACAGAAATGTTTAACTGATATAGTTTAGCTTGTAAATTTTGTGACATCTGCAGTTTAAGGTTCTCTTTTTTAGTATTCAATTTAGTTTCGAAATCTAGAGTAAGAGCCTTAGTATGGATTTAAATTATGCATGTTACATAGAAAATACAGGAACATTGCTAGGCTTTCACTTTTGTTCATATTATACTAATGTGGCTGCCATTATAAGCTTTGTCTAGGTTCATAATAACAGATCTAGCACCATAATAAATATATCTTAAATACGCGCAGGATTTCCGATACATTGGTATTATAATTTATGTCTTGTTTATATAGTAAATGCCGATGAGAGGGGAACTAGTAAGGATGACTGTCTAGCATGCTGTTGGATTAAACTCAAACCTTGAAACTTTTGGCTTGACAGTAGAGTTTCCAGCTTAAAGAGTTAGCGTAAATACGGGTGTCAGCAAAATAAGGATCCAAGAATCAAGTCTCGAATTCCAGACACAGGGACATTGGACATAAGTGGAAGAACTCAGTGGAAGTCATCATTCCCCAAAGGAAAGACGAAAAAGAAAATAGAGGTGTTAACAACTGTTTGACTACCGTTGCTTTTATCATAGATGAAAACTTGAATAGAATGTTTCAGGGAAGTAGCAATACCACAACCTTGGTGAAGATGGAGAAATGAGGTTCTTATATCGCGGAGACAAAGAAGCCTATGCCATAAAATAACTTGGAAACTTTCATATCAAAAGAGAATGAGTGTGATAGGTAGAGAGAGAGTTAGAGAAAATTTGAAAAAGTCCATCATCTCCGATGAGGAATGGATTGTGTTCATTGATAATCTTAGTAAGAGGGTTTCAAGATGTGTGTTAAGAGATTATTTTTGTCCTTATGGTCAGATTCTGAGAATTTACATCCCACGTTTTTTAGAGAAACCAAATTACAAATCTTCAACTTTTGCATTTGTCCAATTTGCTGGTGAAGAAAGTAGACAGAAGGCAATTCAGTATGTTAATGGCAAGTGGATTGATGGGAGAAGAGTCTCAGTAGAGATTGCAAAGTATCAAAGAGCAAAGAGGAGGGAAGCTGTTGAAGGGAAGAGGATGGTGGAGAACAAGTCAGGAAAACAGGAAACTACACAACTCGGGAGGAATGCGGAGTCGGTGAGAAGCTTGAGAGATGGCAGATTGTATAAGGATGTTGTGAATACTGACCTTAATATCAGAAATGAATCAGTTTCAAGAAAAAACTTGGAGGGTTTCAAGCATAATGCAACTGGTGTGAGGAATGTATGGGAGATGCATATACCGTTGGACAATTTCGAGTGGGTCAAGCGATCATTAACAGGGATAATGAATTCTTCTTTTGAGTATGATTCGGTAAAGGAAGCTTTGGAGATCGAGGGTGTGGGAGTCCAAATATCTAGATGGGGTTATGCATGGAATGCTTGCATCATTACATTCAATACGGTGGAGGAGTTCTCATATGTATGGATGAATAAAAAAGAAGAGCTTTTATGATGCGTCGATTGGTTGGCTCCTGAGCTGAATTATGAGAGAGTTCTGTTGGCCCTTTGCCAAGTAGAGATGTATGGAATGCCTCTTTTGTGCTGGAATGAGGCTTTCATTAAGAAACTTACAGGGAGGTGGGGAAAATTCAGTTATTTTAATGAGGAATCAAAGAGCAGATCAGGTCTTTCGTCGGCAAAAGTTCTGGTCAGGGTGGAGAGTTCGTTTGATGTCCCTGAAATAGTTACAATAGGTTCCTATGGCAGATTGTTCAAAGTAAAAATATCGTTGAGATCAGTCTTGAAAAAACCAGAAGAATTGGTGGAGAGGATGGGTGAGAAATTTTCAAAAAAAAAATGAACAGTAATTTTGTCTGTCAATGGAGGATAGCTGGCGTCCTATTCAGGCAAAAGCTGTAACCCACGAAATATCAGAGGAGTCCAGACTAAAAGTCATCTCTTGGTTGAATAATGGACAAAATACTAGTGTTAATGGAGTTAGTGGGGGACAAGTTCCATCGAATAATTCAACTACAAACACCTCTAATTGTGGGCTGTCAGTTTTCTTTGAAAATAAGACAAATAAGAGTGGGAATCACGTGGGTCTGGGATTGAGGGAAATAAATTACACGGATGATAAAGCACAATTAGTTGACAATGGAGTTTCCTTTTCACCAATTAAGAAAATCATTCCTAGTGGGCCTGCATATAATCTAAAGTGGGTTGGGGAGGAAAATTATAATGGTAGATTTATACCCCAGCCCAATACATTTCAACTATTCCATTGGAAGCTGCTGATGAGGGTGATGTTAGCTGTTCGAAAGATAATACAGGGGGGCAGAATGAAGTGATCCAAAGTGAACATGATGTTGAAACGAATGAGGAGCAGTCTATAGGGGCGAGAAGTGGTGATGGGATCATGTTTTCAATACAAAGATTTCTGAAGTTCAAGAGAGGGGGAAAGATACTGTTGAACAAAGGGCTGGTTTAAAGATGAAGATGGTAGAGGATGATAATCAGTTGAACCTTAATGCCAGTAGCTACTCAAGCAGTCCAAAGGAGGCAGCAAAAAAGGGGATCTATTCCACTGATAAAATAGTGGAGGGTGGTTTAGATAATACAACACTCAAGACAGTTATTGCGGAATATGTGGAAGGTATTAATTTGTTAAGCTTGGGGTGGTTTAGAAAATCGTTCAGCAGATACTTTATCTATGAAGAGTGCTCCACCGGGAAGAAGGATGATAAGAAGTTATAAGAGAGTATAAAAGATCTAGGGAGGGAAACATTTGGCTCAGTAGTGTGCAAAATTTTAATTCTGAAACAGAGGGGATTTTATTCAAGCAGAATGGTAGTGATGTTATTGTAAGATATGCACAATCTGAAATTCCGAGGAGGATTATAATCCAGTAGAGGATTGTGATGATGTGGGGAACATGAGTCTTAAAAGGAGATATACAAGGCTTTTGATTATGGATGCTCTAGAACAGGTGAGTGTTTCCACAATTACATCCACCGTATTTCCCTTGCTATTAAAGGAAGCTCTTGCAACTTGGGAAATAAACAAGATGTTGGGCATTTCATTTAAAGAAGGGAAGGAAGCTTTCTTGGATAAAATCAATAACTTAGAGAAAGGTTTGACTAGGGGTATTTGAGTAGGTTGATGAGTTGTGAAAGAGTTTGGTATTAGCCTATCATTATGAGACCAAAGATAACAATTATGTCTTGGAATATCAGGGGCTTGGGGAAAAAAGAGAAGCATCGAGCTGTTCAAAAAATGGTGTCTGAGAAGAAACCATCCTTTCTTTTTTTGCAAGAAAAAAAACTGGAGGTATGTCCAAGGTCTTTTTGAGAAGAAGTCGTCTAAACAATCTTCAAGGGTATGTCGAATCTCCAGCAGAAGGTTCATCAGGGGGCTTACTAAGTTGTTGGGATGATAGTGTTTTCGAGGTAGAAGACCAGCAGATTCATAGGAGATTTATTGCTATTCTAGGGAAATTCAAATTGAATCAATTTAAGTGTGGGTTTATTATTGTATATGGCCCTTCAGTGGAGAAAGAGAAAGGAGGTTTTTTTTGAGGAGCTTTGTTTGTTTTTAAATGGTATTACCATTCCTTTTTGTGTGGGAGGGGATTTTAATGCTTATTTAACAGAGGGGGAGAAGGATGGTAGAACTCAAAACAGAAATTCGATGGAGATTTTTAGGCAGTTTGTTCATCAATTGGGTTTAATTGATATTCCATTAATTGGGGGAAGATTTACTTGGAGTAACAACTGTGAAGATCCTACTGTTAGATTGGATAGGTTTTTGCTAAATATTAATTTCTCTTCTGCATTCTCGGATATCACCCAACATTTACTTCCGAGATCACTTTCTGACCACAATGCTATTTTGCTTCAGAGTGGGGGAGATAATTGGGGTAAGAAACCTTTCAGATTGTACAATTATTTAATGAATGAGGTTGGGTTTGATGAGAAGGTTGAAGCTGCTATTACAGAATTCAAGAAAGGTCAGAGAAGAGCTGGTATCCTGAGCACCATAAGAAGCTCCAAATTAGCTAATAAAAAATGGTATGGAACGAGAAATCAGTTTCCAGGTGCTGTCATTTTTGCTTTAGAAGTAAATATTCATCAATTGGAGCAGGATTTTCAAATACAGCAGTTTGTGAAGGGTACAGATATAGCAGCTGCATTGTGTTCTTTGAGATCAGAATTGTGGAGACTATATAGGATTGAAGAGCAAATTTGGATACAAAACTCAAGAGTGAAATGGATAAAAATGGTGATCGAAATACAAAATTTTTTCACACTTGTGCCATAATTAGGAGGAGGTTGAATTCATTGAATGCTCTCAAGGTTAAAGACGAAATCATTTATGATCGGTTCTCATCAAAGCGAGTGTTCGGGATCATTTTTTTGAAACATATAATTCACAGTCTACTTTGGAAGTGGAAGAAATCAAGCTGATTTTTCCAAGAATCTCTTTAAAGCAAAGCATCATTTTAGAGAAAAGGTTTACGGAAGAAGTGTGGGAGGCTTTGAATTCATGTGATAGTAAAAAAGCGCCAGGACCGGATGGGCTGAATATGGGATTTTTCAAAAGGTTTTGGTCCACATTGAAAGACGATATTATGGATTTTTTTCACAACTTCTATTTGGGTAAAAATTGGGAGCATGACATTAATCACACTTTCATAACCCTCATCCCAAATGGTTCTAATATTGGTGGTTTAGATGATTTCAGACCTATTAGTTTAGTAGGTGGAATGTACAAGATCCTTTCGAAATGTCTTTCGAGAAGGTTGAGGAATTGCATGGATGATGTTATTAGTGCTTCACAATTTGCCTTCGTTCCTGGTCGACAAATTTTGGACTGTTCCTTCATAGCAAATGAAGGAATAAATATTTGGAGAAAGAAAGGTTTGAAGGGTTGCGTGTTTAAGGTTGATTTTAGGAAGGCGTATGATACGGTGGATTGGGATATTCTGTTTAAAGTGATGGATAAAATGGGTTTTGGAAAAAAACGGTGCAGTTGGATAAGAAGATGTGCGACTACAGCCTCTGTCAGTTTTGGTTAATGGTGTGCCTACAGAGGAATTTCCTATGACAAGAGGACTTAGACAGGGCTGCTCCCTTTCCCATTATTGTTTAATTTAATAGCAGAGTTTCTCAATCTAATGCTTCATAAGGCGGTCTCTATGGGGTTGTTCAGTGGTTTGGTTGTTGATAAAGACGACGATTCTTATATGTTATCTCATCTTCAATTTGCAGACGACCTAATAATTTTCTGTAATGCATCCAAGACGCAATTTTAAATATTAAGAGAGTTCTAAGAGTTTTTGAAGTTATGTCTGGTCTCCAGCTTAATCTTAGCAAAAGCAAATTATTTGGCATCAACGTTACTGAGGAAGTGATCAAGGAGTTGGCTGGTGATCTTGGGTGTGCAGTGGGTACTCTCCCGTCTGATTATTTAGGGCTGCCGCTTGGAGCAAACAAAAATTCTTCTGCTTTGTGGGATCCGATTGTTCAGAAATTTTTTAAGAAGTTGTTGGGTTGGAAGGCAAGAACACTTTCTTTGGCAGGGAGATTGGTATTGTTGAAATTAGTATTGAGCTCTCTACCTACTTACTTTCTGTCTATGTTTAAAATTCCAGCAGCAGTGAATTCAAAGTTAAATTCCATCATGACTAATTTTTATGGGGAGGAGCTGCAGAGTATAACAAAATACACTGGGTAAACTGGTCCACAGTGTGTAAACCAAGAAGCTGTGGTGGTCTGGGTGTGCTGAATATTAATTTTATGAATAGGGCATTATTAGAGAAATGGTTTTGGAAGTTTGCTAATGGTGGGGAATCAATTTGGAAGAAGATGATTTGCTCCAAATACAATCTGAACACTATTCTGATTTTTTTCAATAGCAAATTACCAAATAATGCTTCTTGGATGTGGAAATTGGTGGTTAATAATCACTATAAAGATGATAAGTTTAGTGAGAAGGTTTGAAGCATGTTTCACGTTAAAGTGGGTGATGGGAAGAGCATTAGTTTTTGGTTTGATATTTGGGCTCTATATCATCCTTTGAAAACTGCTTTTTCGAGAATTTTTGCTCTTTCTTTGAATCAGTTTGGGACGTTAAATGAGTTTGGTGAGTACAAATCTTCATGTTGGTCTTGGTATGTTCAGTTGAGAAGAAACTTGTGTGATTGGGAGCCGGAAGAGTTTTCAAATTTTCTAACCATCATTCATAATTTTAGTCTCTTCAAAGAGTCCAAAGATGGTTTGATTTGGAGAGGGAACGGGGAAGGTATTTTTTCTGTCAACTCTTGTTTGAAGACCTGTTTTCTTAAATTGGCAGAAAACAAATTTTGAGAAAATTGTATTTGGAAGGGGTTGGTGCCTCCAAAAGTAGAAGCTTTTATGTGGCAATTAGCGCACCAAAAATTGGCCGTAAAGTCGGAATTACAGAAAGAGGGGTTACGGGGATTGTTGATATTTCTTGTCCTATGTGTAAAAAAGAGTTTGAATCTGTCACTCATATATTTTTCTCCTGCACGGTTGCATAGTCCCTTTAGAATAAGTTTCTGAATTTTTGGAAACTTAGTTCTGTTCTTCATGTTAATGCTAAAGGATTTTTACTTGCTTGGTTTGATATGGTGCCTGCTTCTTCTGTTTGGTCCTTAATTCCGGGAGTAGTGTTTTAGACTATCTGAAAATTCAAAAATGATGTGGTGTTCGAAGGAAGGTCTTTAGATCAGGTTGAACTATTTTTCATGGCTAGGATTAGGCTTGCTTCGTGTTTCTTAGCTAAGTTCAACGATGTTACAACCTCTAAAGACTTTATTATTAATGATCCATCTATTGTAGATTCTTGTTGTTCTTCTAGAAATTCGGTTCATAAAGTTATCTCCTGGATCCCCCTCCTAAGGGTTACCTAAAATTGAATGTGGATGCAGCAGTTTGCAAAGATTGGCAAAAGAGTGGTGTAGGTGGTTTATTAAGAGATGAGTTTGGCGATATCAAGGGTTCTTTCAAAGAAACAATTGTTCCAGGCCCTCCTACTTTGCTGGAACTTATAGCCATCAAAAGGGGTCTAATTATCTTTGATTCTATTATTCAGAGTTTTAAGGCTAGGTGGATTGTTGAATCTGACAGCAAACTTGCAGTGGATTGGGTTAAGAACTTTGATAACTATCCTGTAGTTTTTCGTTATTTAGTTAAAGAAATTGCTGATATGATAAGAGTTTTCCAGGGTGCTATCAGATGGGTGGACAGAACTGCTAATATTTAAGCTGATTCTTTAGCTAAGGCTGGTATTGGGTAGTGTTTTGTTTTGTTTGTTGGGTTTTGATGTTTTTTTTCTCGAGTGTTGGATGTTTTATTTGGTGTGTTTCGGGTTGTTTTTGTAAGGGGATTGTCTGTTATAAACGTTATGTAATCTTTCAGTTATTAATGAAATTTGAGACTCTTTTCCTCCTTCCGCTGATTAAGGAATACCGATTGGTGTTCCTTTAATCATGAAGGGGGTTTTTAACGAGGCCTCTACTTCCTATCAAAAAAAAAAGTTAGTGCAAATTTTGGATGGTTAAATGGAATCTTGGGAAACATTATTTGGTTCTTAAAATATTCTGTTGCTTTAGTATCGGCATAGGTGGGAATCGAATCCTTGGGTTGCTTTCAGTTGAACTAAAAACCTTGATGTTAATTTTTTATTTTTTCTATTGTTTTCTTAGATTGGAGTTGGTAGATTTTGACACTTGCCAAAATCTGGAATACGACATTTTTGTTGTCATTGTTCTTTCTTATTTTAATCTTTGTTTCTTCCTTTAAATTCCAGAAACTGGATTTCAAGTTTCCTCTCTCATTATCATGTGTTCACTTCATAACGTCATCAGTTGGAGCATATATGGTAATCAAAGTGCTAAAGCTTAAACCTCTAATAGTGGTTGATCCTGAAGATCTCTGGAAAAGGATATTTCCCATGTCTTTTGTATTTTGCGTCAACATAGTGCTGGGAAATGTCAGTTTGCGCTACATCCCAGTTTCTTTTATGCAGACTATAAAGTCATTCACTCCTGCAACAACAGGTGAGATTTAGAAATTAAAGCCTAATCATCCCTTTTACGAGCATCTTGATGTAACTCATGAATGCTTATCATCATCCCATCTAATATTGTGTATCTTTGGCAGTTATTTTACAGTGGCTAGTTTGGAGGAAGTACTTTGACTGGCGAATTTGGGCCTCTTTGGTTCCTATTGTCGGAGGAATTCTGCTCACATCTATTACAGAACTTAGTTTTAATATGTTTGGATTTTGTGCTGCCTTATTTGGATGTTTGGCCACTTCTACAAAGACTATCCTTGCAGAATCTCTGCTGCACGGTTACAAGTTTGACAGGTACCTACATTATCCATTCTTATGGCCCCTATTTGACATTTTTTTGAAAGACCCTATTTGACATTTTGGAAAAGGTTAAAATAAAAAAATGGGTTTATGGTTTAACCGAGTGTTCGTGTGTCAGTTTCTGATTGTTGTGTAAATTTCTGTAGCTAGCATTTAATTTAAATGCAGGTGCAGCAGGTCATCCTTTGCATTTTTGTACGGCATGCCTATTTTCTCTTGTAGCTGAATAACTAGCATTACTTCTGTCATCAAAATCCTGTGTCTCTGTGGATTGAACTATTAACCAGGAAACGATCAGGCGAATAACAATTACTGCAGAATTACTGCCACTAGTTTATAATACTCCAGTACTCTACAATACAAGCTATGTATTTGACGTGCATGGATTGTAACTTAAACTTCGTCTAGTTATGTAGACATTCTGCGTCTTAAATAGAACCAACTTCCAATATGATATATTACTGTTGTAATATTTCTAAGAGTTCATTTTATTCATAGCCAATGTGGACCTATGTGATTCCTTAGTACTATATAGAGACCTTTAGGTTGTTTGTTCTTTTCCTTGAGCAAAGCTTTGGGGTTTTCTTTTGTTTTTATTTGTTTGTGGCAGTGTGTTTGGTCCCACATACTAAGCCACAAGTGCTCTGATCTTGTTTCACTTCTATTTTTGGTGCATAATCTTATAGCATAAACACCGTCTACTATATGGCACCTTTTGCGACCTTGATCTTGGGAGTACCTGCAATGTTACTCGAAGGTAATGGCGTAATGGAATGGTTTCAGACGCATCCCTCTCCCTGGCCAGCTCTCATCATTATTTTCAGCTCTGGAGTGCTTGCTTTCTGTCTTAACTTCTCCATCTTTTACGTGATTCACTCAACTACTGCTGTCACATTTAATGTTGCTGGGAACCTTAAGGTGAGTTTTACATAGAGAAGATGGAGCCCTGTCATATTCTTTCCCAGTTATACTATGATAATTGACGTCATTAATTGTGATGTTCTAGGCATAAGTTGTTTAATTTACCGTTGATTTGATTGTTTGGATGAATGTATTTTTTCCGATTCTTTTTGGTAGTTTTTTAGTGTATTGTGGCAGACTTCCGGTGCTTAAACCTTCAATTATTCCTGTTTATCATTTTGAATGCAGTATTCATTATTCTTATGCTTTCCTTTTGCAGGTAGCAGTTGCTGTGTTGATTTCATGGATGATATTCAAAAACCCGATTTCAGGTCTAAATGCTGTTGGTTGTGGTATCACACTTGTGGGATGTACCGTTTACGGGTATGTCCGACACATGCTTGCTCAACAGCCACCTGGAACGCCTCGAACACCCCGGACGCCTAGGAACAGGATGGAACAACTACTTCCCCTCGTCAATAATAATGATAAGTTAGATGATAAGGTCTAATTTAGTTTGTTATGCATGGGGATTCTTGGCTTCTGGAGAATGGATGATACGAAGAAATGGCATCTGTTGGAAAGGTTGTTCTTATCGTGTTGTGAGGCCTTACGTTAGATTCACTAGGTTGGGAAGCTTTTTAACATATTTTCTTGTTTCTCAGATACAAAATTTATTTTCTTACATCTATTTATTTGTTAGAGTGCCTCGAATATTTAGAACAAGAAGTCAATGAAAATTTTATTTATTTTACTGTTAATTCTCTCATTCTGATGATCCTAGTTCATGAATGGAATACATGTGTGCTACTCGGGTTTGTGTTACTAAGTCACTAGGATTCAGCTTGAACATTGTCACTTGACCTCAAACTACTAATTGAGTTGGATTTAGGGTTCCTAATATTTGATTCGAGTGCCTCATCAAACTTGTTTTTAGCAGGAAATAAAGTTCGACCGAGTGCATTTAGTTGAACTCGAATTAAGTTTTGAACTTCAAAATTTGAATTTTTTTTACAACTTCAGTTCGGTTTGGATGCATGCTAGTAACTGAAGAAGCAAGCATGGGGATTATGCTGTTTTAAGTACTATATATAATCTTAGGATTCAATGGTTAAAATATCACTACTGCGTTAAAAGATTTTGATTGAAAAGATTTAAAATATCAATGTTTACAGGCGAAAAATAAACTTATTTTGGAAGAACAATGTCCTCAAACGTCATTAGACACGAACACGAATCTTGTTTATTCCAGCAAGAGAGAATAAGAGGTTGACAAAATTGTACATTTTACATCTCAATAATGATGAGAAACAGAGGATAATCCGGCTAGCAGTGAAAGACTAGAATTGAATCTAAATTATCTTTGCAAATGATATCATAGAGGTCTAAAGTACGAACCTATATATATAGTATGTAGTAGTACTTTATCAGAAAAGCGTAAAAAATCATAAGTACAAGTAAATAAATAAATTAAGTTGAATTCCGGGTTTGAAGTGATGTATTTTATATATTTAGTTAATACTTAATAGTAAGCAGAAAGTAGCCACCGACGCCTCTGCATAAGTAGGGTTTGGAATGATGCACTGTATGATTTAGTTTAAAGGCAAAAGTTGTTTTGACATAAAGTGGTGATAAAGTAACCCACCGACGGCATTGCATGGTTGAGCAATCTGAAATGTTGATGATGAATTGCACAACGAAGTCTGGTCCCGCATTTGGTTACGAAGATCTAAACGAATGACGGAAAAATCTGTATTTGGAAACATCGGCTTCGTGTCTCGGCCACTCTGTCACCTACCTGGGTCCTTGGATAACTACTGCTTTTACTTCTACCTGATCGTATCGGTTCCCATGTTTATTATGTTGGAGTCTTCCTGGATCATGATTTTCTGAAACTAGCATCGGATGTTGGATGATAGCTTTCCAGTAAAGTTATATCCATCCAACAATGAAATATCTTCAGGAGATAACGTAGCTGCACCAGTACTCAAGCAATGTAGAGCACCTCGTCTCCTGTATAACAGAACTATTTGAGTATTTGTAACTAAACAAGAGCTACTGCAAGGACTGGGGTGGCTCATGGATAAATGAAAGTACCAAACATTTACAATAAAGATATTTGATTTAGAAGTTAATTTACCTCCGTCTTTTCGTCAATTCCATGTTTGCTGATAAGCGGGAAGCTTATGATCTTGAAATGTGTTTCAATGAAGCCGCATATTCATGAAATGGAACACCCTTCAGTGCCGAGTATGATCTTGAAGGGATCATGGTCCTAATGTGTTGAAAAGACGGGATTTCACATCACTGTATTGGGAATGCCAAGGTAAAGTAAAAAGGGTGTTCCAATAGGGATATTTTAGATCTTCTAACAAGATGACTGAACCAAAATCTTTTCCCTAGAAAGCACATTTGATAAATGTCTAAGCCATACATTTATGGACATTCCACTTATCCAAGGAACTAATTCATCCATCCCAGTGACCGAAACAGAAATTGTAGTTGATCAATAATAAATATGAAATTTGATCTTTGATCTTCCATTGTAAAAAATGTTCAACTCATATTCAAGGGTGATTTCAAAGGAAATAACAAATCTGTACCTTTTCACTGGTAGCTCGCATTTTGATAGGCTGGTTTCCGAACCCTTTCCACAAACTGAAGTCCAGTTTGTTCTAGCATCATGTCCAAGCAATCGACTGAGAACCATTGTAATAGTTGAGGGAGCCAGCATCTCCTGGCTAAAATCGACCCTGTGCTCAAAACCCAATTTTGATCCTATAGAATCAATTTCTTTAGCATACAAGCAAAATCCATATTTAGAAACTGTGGTGGCCATCTGCAGCTGCTCGTCACACCAGGTGACTGAAACTGAAAGGCATCATAAACAGCTCCAAAGAATCCTGCAAAAGTGGCTAATTAGTATCGAAGATAACAGGCATAAACTCAATAAGAAAGGTATCTGGAAGAATATCGCTTACTTGCACCTTCCACTTGGAAAGCAATTGATCAGCTTGTGAAAGCAGACCACTCATTCTAGACGTTTGTTTTAATATCCTAAAAGCATCTTTTGGTTCTGACCCAACATACAGTTTTAGATAATGACGACTTCCACGAAGTTTTTCCCATGATGCTTGTACTAAATCAGTGGCCACCTGGTTCTTAAATTTCCCCAAGGAAAAGGATCTTCTGTTCAAATTCTCGGAGTTGCATTTATCCACCATCACTGGATTCCCTCTGGATACAGCCTCATCATACTCATTTTGAGAATTCTCCACCAACTCCTCATGAGATGCTCCACCAGTAATACTGCATGTGCCACCTAACATATCTGAAGTTTTAACTAATTTATGCTCTTCAACCAGGCAACAGGTCCTCTCTGAATTCGCAACTCACAGAAACTTCTGTTATTTCAGCAACATTAACATGAGACACAGTTCCAGGAAACAGCTCCCTTCCATTAACAATTTCATTTGCGGGAATATATGGTACATCTGTAGATTTTCCACTTTCCATTTGTAAATTATTTGCTGTTTCTGAGCATTGGAAGCCCTTGTCCTCACATTTGTCAATTTCTGAACGTAGTAGTTCATCTGTTAATGGCCTTGTGCAATTTTTCATGCTTGGACAATGAGAGAGGAGTCTGTGATCTTCTTTGATGAATAATTCACTGTGGACATTCTTATCTGAAACTAAAGAAATTTATTTATTTAAGTTTCCATCTTTGGAATCTGAAGACATTACAGCATCAAGTTTCCTCTTCCCTGTTCTCCGAGAGATATTCCTGCTTAGCATCACTTCCTTCTTAGCCTCTACACTGTGCATCTCATTATGCATCTCCAACCCTTTAGACATGTTATTTTGAAAGAGAAAATCGCCTCAGTGACAAAAAATGCCTTATAATATACGATTTTAACCAATTTTTTCCGGATTTGCCAAAATGACCAACAAAATCGCAATGCGATCGCTAATTCGCAACGCGATCTCCATTATCGCAAATTCGCGTTGCATTTCGTGTTGCGATAGTTGGAAATCGCGTTGTGATGGTCTACAGTGTCGTTGCGATTTTCCCAATTCGCAATGCGAATAAGTAAATCGCAACGCGAATTGGGAAAATCGCAATGCGATACTGACTATCGCAATGCGATACTTACTATCGCAATGCGATAATACAAAAGCGCAACGAGATACTGACTTTCGCAACGCGATTTACATAGCGCCATTCGTATTAACGCGTATTTTTTTTTTTCAAATTCCAAACACGAATTTTTTCTTAATAAATCGGAAACTGAACCGTCCACAGTAATCGCAACTCATAACCTCAAACCCAAAATCACAACACTCAGTCCCATCTCCATCTCTCACTCTCTACGGCAAAATCCGTCCCCATCTCCGAAGATTTCCGTCCCCATCGCCGGCGAAATCCCTCACAACCATTCACAATCAAAAATCCCTCACAATCATTCAGAAATGGAAAATCAACCTCCGAGGGTTAGTTTTTTTATTTATTTTTATTTTGAAATTTTTGCATTATTTTAGGTTTTTCATATTGAGATTGATGATAAGTTTACTGGTAATTTCAATAATAGATTAACCATTTCACTTAGATTTCTTATTAAATTCATTCGATTACTGCCAATAATGCTAAACTGTTTAGCCTGTGAAGTTAGTATTTGTCTTTGTTTTGTCTTTTGGTTGAAGTAATGCAGAAGAATAATAGTTTCGAGAATGAAAATCGCAACGCGGAAATAAATCGCAACGCGAAATAAAATCGCAACGCGAAAAAAATCGCAACGCGAAACCAAAATCGCATTGCGATTTTCATTTCGCGTTGCGATTCTCTCGTCGCGATAGTCATTTCGCGTTGCGATTCTCTCGTTGCGATAGTCATTTCCGCGTTGCGATTCTCATTATCTCGTTGCGATTTTCATTTCAAACAAAAGACAAAACAGTGTTGCAAATTTTAGTTTCAAGAATAAACTACTATTTATGTTTATTGTTTTTGGTATATCTTTACAGTGTAGTTTTTGGTATATCTAACTTGGCATGTTTATTGTTTTTGTAGAAATTTTTTTCGGCTTCATTGACATTAAGGAATAAAGTTAGCCTAGCCACTACAATTGCTTCGAAGCTTTCACCTGCACAAAGAAAATTGTTTGAGGAAACCTGCTTCGGGCCATGGCTGAGAGTACAGCATCCGGGTGGAGATGCTAATTTGACCCATTTGTGGCTTCAGACCATGACTAGCGATCTACCCGACAGTATACAACGTGGTGAGGAAGAGATATGGTTTCATTTTCCACCGGCGTATACTTGTTTTGGGCGGAAGGAGTTCTGCTTAATCACTGGTCTACGATTCGGACACGATGATGTAGGCCGGTACACTCGTCATATCACCCGCCCATCATGGTTATCCAGGGTTTTTCCTGATGAGTCAATAGAGAAGCCGAACTTACACGTCGACGACATGAAGAAATTGTTTAATAAGAAAGATGGTTTTACTCGGATGAATGACGTCGATGTTGTCCGAGTATGCCTTCTACTACTTTTGTATGCTGGCTTTTTAGGCAGAGAAGCCAGACAACCTATTCCTCAGGAGCTAATATTATTGGTAGAGGACCTAAATGCATGGAATCTGTTTCCGTGGGGTTCGTATATATGGAAAGCTACCTGGACTAAGTTGTCGTATGCCTTTGATGACCGCAAAAGTTTGTGGGCGATGGGTCGAAATACACTTTGTCAGGCTTTGTTTGGGCCTTTA